TTATAATAAATAATAAACGTGTTGTATTATAAAAAGAATAATATTTATTAATAATTGAGTATGCTAGGAATTTATTTGAGATCAATTCAATGTATATATGTGAATATAGAAGATATCATGCACACGTGCACAGGCCTGAATCTGGGAAAAATGACTAGTTAAAAGTATATGTATTTTACACACTGAAGAAGTTGGAATCTGAAAAAAACTTAAAATACAAAAGTTATAGGTATCTTCAAGATCTTTCCACTAAATCTTATATCACATCATTTCAAGGTTGGACGTGAAAGTTATGACCAGAATACCAAAGATTGTTTTTCTAGTCAGACTAGGTTTTCTGGTTCGGATCAAACATGTTTGTTTCGGGTTTTCCTCTATAAATACCTATGTTTTTCATGAAAATTCCTCTTTTTTATCATATCTATAAACCCTAGAAGTCACCCTCTCTCCTCAAAAATTCTAGATTTTTTAATGAATTTTGAGAGCTTTGTGGAGCACAATACCGACACGAGGGCGAGATCTTCAACGTGTAACAAGGGAGAACGGGTTGTTTATGCTCGTGGATTGCTTGCTGTTTATTTTAGAGGCTTAGAACAGCGTTTGAGGCAAGATTATAATCATCCAAACCCATCCCCATGGTTAAATAGCTAGTGTAGATGATTACTATGATGTTGAATATGTGTTTTCATGCTTTAATTTTAACCAGAGGTGTTAAAAGATAGATTTTTGATAGTAAATTTTAAATCAATGCTACATTAGTAATCTTTTCTTACTGTTTATGATAGTATCATGATCATGATCAATATGGTTATTCATAATTTTATTTATATATGAGAAATTTAAGTGATGTACTAAATATATATTTTCTGCAGAAAACTACAACACTTGTATAATCTTTAACTGATATTTTAAGATAGCAAACAAATTCCAAATTTAACCAAACTAGTTCCAAATGAAAGATATATGTATATTATTTCTAAAACAGAAAACCATTCTTAAAAAGGATTTTTATAGAGAAAGATATATTATGTTTACTAACAACATATCCTGCAGAAAAACTGCTGCATATGTATAATGTTTAACTGGAGATTTGAGATAACAAATGAACTCCAAACTGAACCAAACTTATACCATTTGAAAGATGTGTGAATATAGTTTTCAAAATAGAAAACCATTTGTAAAAATAGTTTTCCTAGAGAAAGATATGTTCATTTTACTAACAAAAGTCTCGTCTATTTTCCTGCTCGTTTTGTGGAGCTGTGTTGCGCCGCTTTGAGATGCGTTCACGGAGTTTTGAGCCACTTGATGTTACACGTATAGTCATGAATATATTGTATTACACATTTGAGAATCCCAAGGGGATTATGATAAATTTTGATTTGATCATATTTGAATTAGATATCATTCATATACATGTTGGATGTCGTTGATGAGCACAACTCAGTACTATATGAGATAGTACGTCGACATACCAGATATACACGGTTTATACATGAGGTGAATATCGTTGATAAGCATAGCTCAGTACTATATGGGATAGTGCATCGATATACCATAGATAAAAAGATTTATATGAGGTGGATATCGTTGATGAGCTCAGTTCAGTACTACATGAGGTAGTGTGTCAATATTCCACATATACAAGCCATTGAGTCAGATTTTAGGAGGCTTGATCTAGCCATCCATCCCGCACTAGTGTGCGATGAGGCTCATGAGCCGTATTTCTAGGATGTTTATTTGGTAGTCCGTTCCGCATTCATGTTACGCACTAAGATCGTGATGAGACTAATGAGCCATATACATAGTTCAGGTTACCTACAAGGTAGTCCGTTACACTGAGATAATTACTTGATAGCCTAAGTGTGACAGATGCCGGTTATGAATACGACCTATCAGTGAACTATATGATTGAGATACGTTACTTTTGGAAGTATATAAAATTATGTGTTGGTATTTTATTCTATCTCTCCAGTGATAGTGGAAGATATTATAAATATGATGTGTTGATATCTTATTTCGTTTACTGCCTTCTTTACTTCTTAGTTGGAATCAATGATTAGAGATTCACAACTTGAGACATATAGTATATACATGAGGGTTTCCTTGTTTGGATTATTTCGCTCGACGTACCAGTCTCGTGTTGTGGATTTCTAATTGTTGGTTTCATTTGATTGTCTTTTCTTAGTTCGGTATTGATGTTTAGATATCTATAATTTGAGACTTATGGTATATACATGAGGGTTTCATTGTTTGGATTATTTCGCTCAACGTACTACGTCTCGTGTTGTAGGTTTTTAAATATTAATCCCACTTAGATACAGGAAAAATAAATCTAGGTAGACTATGCTTAATAGATAGAGCCTTCACTCCATCTAGCAGACCTTCCTTTGGGGACGGATGGAGGCAATCTTGATGTAGCGCTCTGACGTTCTTGTTGTTTTTTTTTTCTTTTAAATTACTTTTTAGGTAGTTCGGAGTTTCGGAGAACCGCAGGGTGACAGAGTTTTGGCATAGTCGTCATCGCGTATTTTTACTTATAGAGACTCCACTGTAGTTTTGAGTTTCATTCAGACATTAGAGTTTCATATTCATATTATAAAGGCAGTGTGTCTTAGTACGATTTTTAGTTTATTCATGTTGAGATATTTTCATTATTCAGATATCCGATATATATTATAGTTGAGACACGATTCTTTTTATTTATGAGATATCTCTTCTATATCATATCTATTACATTTATTCCCTTTATTTTACCTGTTTTGTACCTGCACTTCTATTTGGTTCCACTAGAGGATATTGGTATGATTGGTAAAACGTGTTTATGCACAGTGTGGGTACATGATAGGTTTGACATCTCTGGTTTCACCTTGGACTGCAGCATTGTGTGAACGTAGGGGCGTCACAGGGTCGTTCTGAAGGTGTTCACGTGGATGTTTGGGGGCCTTCTAAGGGGGCATCATTGGGAGGTAATAGGTATTTGGTTTTCTTTTGTTGGTGGCTGTTCTAGGCGTGTTTGGGTTGCAACTAAATCCCAATTTGAGAAAGTCCTAGTAGTCTCTAACAGATTGAAGAAGTGTAAGATGAACAGAAAGGTGAAGGTACTTCATTTAGGTTTTGATAGGAGGTACAAGATAGACCTGCTTCTGTATTGGAGCCGAGCTCACGGCATTTCGAGTCACTTCGTTGGAAAGGAAATCTTAGGGTAACTAGATAAGGTGACAAATTTGGAGAGTCGTGCCTTGCTGGAGGAGGATCGGTGTTTGTTACCAAGCAATGGTCTGCAGAAGAGTTTCTGGACTGAGGCTTCGACATATTCGAGTCATCTTATTAAAGAGTTGTTAACTGTTGTGATTGGAGGTAAAACTCCATTGGATGTTTGGTCTGCAATTATTATATAATTATTATATGACTATTCTGTTAATCTTGTGATTCTCGTGAATTTACTGATTATTATTTTTATTTTTAGATTGCAAGTTTACTGGTAGCAATTTCATGATTACGAATGTAACTTTTAGACTACATGTTTATTGTTTTTTATTTGTCTTACATGGGTGGTATACTCACCATGATAAGTTGATTCAAGTTTCTCGTGGTTCCATTATCCCGACAATACTAAAGAAACCAAGGAAACTAGTTTACAAGTTGCTCAGTCTCATTATGAACCACACTCGGTACTTATTTCGTGGAAAATCTAAAAATTGCTGGGAGCAAGTTTTTAGTCAGGAAATTGTCTTGCTTCATTTGAGTTTTGCGAACCAAACAAGCTCTAACACAAAGAGGCAATGGAAATTTCAACATCCTTTGATTTTTTTTTTAACTCATAGAATATTACGATAACAAAATTAAATGTCAAAAAGAACATGACAAATTCTGAAAAGAATGAAAGTGACTACCGACCATCATTTAAATGGCGTAAATAAATTATTCCTTAGCACATAATCTATAAAATCATAACTATTGAAATGAAAAGTTTTTAATTTTTTGGGTAAATCAATGGGGGCCGAAGCCCTAAAGTAAAATAAAATTAAAGATTATCAATACGGGCTACGTAAAAGCCTCATCAAAGTATAAACCTATATTCTAAATCTCTATGCCTGTAGGTTCAAGCACATAATTTTTTTGTCATTTGATGTATTAGTATCCGAACAACTATAAACTATCAAAGTATGAAGCTAACGTTTATGTTTAAAATAAAATATAAAAAGACACCTCGCATGTTTCAGTCATTTTCAACTGATCCAACCAAAATCACACTCGGGCCTCTTTCTTTCATCTCCTTTTTCAATCCAACGTCGACGCTTTTGGACTCGAGTCATTGAAGTCGAATCATTAGCTCTTGGACCCAAACAAACCCAAACAACTCTGATAGACTGATATCTCCAAACTCAACAAAAAACCCCTCCACTTTATTATTATTATTATTATTATTAACGGAGCTAAAAAAAGAAAACAGAGCTCAAGTTTGGTCAGTTGTCACTTTATACCGGGGTCCATGCTGAAATTAGTAGGTTGAGAATTTTGGTCTTAAAGTTAATCATGTGAATATACTAGTTGGTACCCTACTTTAAATTTTTCTGTAAATTTGAGAAAATTGGACATAAATCATTTTCAAATGGTGCAAAAGGTTTTTCTGCGAACATTAATTGAATCCCAGAAAATAGAAAGATAATACATCCTTATCATAAGAGATTTCCATTTTTTTTTTTTTTGAAAAGAAGAGATTTCCAATGTTTGAGGCCAAAAATATCACTCTTCTTCGTCTTTTTGCAATGCAACTTTCGTCTTAATACAACTTTGGTCATAATGTCATTTTCGAAAATTCCAGGGTTAAAACTATAATTCGTTCAAGGTTCCGTGCAAATTCACGCTCCTTTATTAATTAAAAAGGGTAAAATTCCGCGTGATTAACTCAACTAATTAATTTTCGAAAAAGATTGACTGACTATAAATCATTTTCTTTGACGACTGAGCATGCCATCTATTACGTCGACCGTTTCTTTTTTTTTTTCCTTCAAGATTATTTTCAAGGGGGTGGAAAATTAAGAAAAAGGACTCGAAAGAGGAGAAATATATGTTGGAGTCCCCAGTGGAGGAGAATGGCGATAAAAACTAGCTCTTCACTTGCTTCCGCTTCCAAAGATTCCTCTTTCTCTCTCTGAAACCTCTCCTCGTCCTCCTTGTTTCTCTCTCTTAACAACTCTTTGATGATGCTTTCAGCTGCTTAGCTAGCGAGGTCGAGGATCCGAAGCGGACGAGCTCGTGGTCGAAGGTACAGAGCTTTGATCTTTTGATCTCTGTGATATTTGTCGGTCTTTTTTTAGGAATTATAGATTGATTACAAGAACTAGGGATTTGATGCTTGAAATGGAATTTTAAATTGAATATAACTTTTTCTGGATATTGGGAATATTCTGGGGCTGGAGAAGTTGAGATGACGCCTTGCTTTTTGACTCTTGATATTATTTTATTAGTATTGTTTAATGACAAGTTGGTTCCTTTTCGAGTTAATTATTTAGTTTCGTGATATGTTAGGTTTAATAGAAGAGTAGCAAAGTTTAAATTTTACTGAATTGATGTAACGTTAATTAGTTTCCTTCAATCATCGGCCTCTGAATTAAAGGGTAACATATGTAAATTTAAGCTTAATTTCAGCTGTTAAGCTTCCCTCTGGAAAAAACTTGGTATCAGCCGAATTTGGTTGAAAGTAGCAGTGAGATTCATGCTTAGGAAATCTCTTTCTTCAGCTAAGATCTAAATTTGCCAATCAAGTAATTTTGGGTACTCGCTGCCTTAGATATCTGCATGATATTGTTGTTGGATTTGTTATATATTGTGTATGGAATCCGTGTACTTATAATAGTTGAGCTTATAGTTTATGCTATATTGCTATGAGGTTGATAGGCTCCGATTGTTCGGTTTGTAAGACTGACGCTATTGGATAATCACAATTGCTTGTGTTTTCAAGCTCAAGATTTCATTTCAGACTCTGGTGTTTGTTGTATACAATGTTCTAAAAACATGTTGAGTTATAAGAATACCTTGAGAATAAGCGCTAAATTTCAGTAAGTTATAAGAATGGCCGCTATCTCAATGCGATATTGAAAGTAAACGAAGGAAGCCCAGAAGACTGGAATCTAGTGGCACCTTACAGATGCATATTTATCACTATGACAGCACATGAGTTTTCAGAGTTAGTATGCTCTTACATTTATTGACATCATGTTAGTATGAATTTGGTGCTCTTCTTCCGAGCCTTCTAAGTTCTTTCCATGGAGGTTCTTTAGTTGATAGCTTAAATTCCAAGATTTGGTATTTAAGCCCTTTGAAAAATTATATACCTTGATATATGCGTTCTGCTCTGGAGGTTTGTTTGAGTTAAAATATAAAAGAGCGTATGCAGGCGTGCGCATGCATGTCACCCTTAAGGGCAGCTAATCATCGACTTTACTGAGATTTCTACGCAACACACCTCTTTGCTGTGATTGTGTCCACATATGAGATTTTACTTGAACTGTTCTTTATGTTCTCAGTTCTTACCCTAGACCACAAGTAACTTTGAACCAAATAAATCCAGAATATTTAGTTAAGGACTGCAGTTTTAGGAGGATGGCTAGATATTATCTTTTCTATTCTTTCATCTACTTGCAAAAGTAACTCTTTTACACTTCTTTGCCTTTGTAATCAGGTTAAACTTCTTGCTTCATCTTGAAGACCTCATAGGAAGATACGTTCCTTTAGATAACCTGCTCTGAACAATGATGAACAAACCCTTAAGGGCAGCTAATCATCGACTTTACTGAGATTTCTACGCAACACACCTCTTTGCTGTGATTGTGTCCACATATGAGATTTTACTTGAACTGTTCTTTATGTTCTCAGTTCTTACCCTAGACCACAAGTAACTTTGAACCAAATAAATCCAGAATATTTAGTTAAGGACTGCAGTTTTAGGAGGATGGCTAGATATTATCTTTTCTATTCTTTCATCTACTTGCAAAAGTAACTCTTTTACACTTCTTTGCCTTTGTAATCAGGTTAAACTTCTTGCTTCATCTTGAAAACCTCATAGGAAGATACGTTCCTTTAGATAACCTGCTCTGAACAATGATGAACAAACCCTTAAGGGCAGCTAATCATCGACTTTACTGAGATTTCTACGCAACACACCTCTTTGCTGTGATTGTGTCCACATATGAGATTTTACTTGAACTGTTCTTTATGTTCTCAGTTCTTACCCTAGACCACAAGTAACTTTGAACCAAATAAATCCAGAATATTTAGTTAAGGACTGCAGTTTTAGGAGGATGGCTAGATATTATCTTTTCTATTCTTTCATCTACTTGCAAAAGTAACTCTTTTACACTTCTTTGCCTTTGTAATCAGGTTAAACTTCTTGCTTCATCTTGAAGACCTCATAGGAAGATACGTTCCTTTAGATAACCTGCTCTGAACAATGATGAACAACTATAAGTTGGGTGTGGAAGTTGTAGGTGCTCATGATCTCATGCCTAAGGATGGGCAGGGTTCAGCCAGTGCCTGCGTTGAGCTTCATTTTGATGGCCAGAAATTCCGTACTACTGTGAAGGAGAAGGACCTCAATCCAGTCTGGAACGAACAGTTTTACTTTAACATCACCGATCCTGTAATTCTCCCTGAACTTGTCCTTGAAGCCTATGTATACAACATAAGCAAAGCCACACATTCCAAGTCCTTCCTCGGGAAAGCTCGAATTGCTGGAACATCATTTGTTCCCTTTGCTGATGCTGTGGTCATGCATTATCCCTTGGAAAAACGTGGGATTTTCTCACGTGTTAGAGGAGAACTTGGGCTTAAAGTTTTCCTCACTGATGACCCCTCCATAAAAGCTTCAAATCCACTTCCAGCAACAGATGCTTTTCTGAATAATGCTTCTCAAGACCAACTTCATCAAGCACAAGCTCAAATCTTCAACCAAAATCCAAACCTTTCTCAAGACAGATTGGAGTCTAGACACAACTTTCGTAGCATCCCTAGAGAGAAACACCACCATGATTCCGCTGCATCAATGGGTGAACCTACAACGTATATGGCTAATGAGATGAAGCCTGCACCACCGCCACCTCAAATTGTAAGGATGTACTCTGCATCTTCATCCCAACCAGCGGACTATGCAATCAAAGAAACAAGCCCTTTTCTTGGTGGGGGACAGATTGTTGGTGGCCGAGTCATTCGTTCCGACAGGCCTTCTAGTACTTATGACCTTGTAGAGCAGATGCATTATCTCTTTGTGCGTGTGGTGAAGGCACGACATCTACCGTCCAAGGATGTTACTGGGAGCCTAGATCCTTTTGTTGAGGTACGGGTTGGAAACTACAAGGGAATCACAAGGCACTTCGAGAAGAACCAGAGCCCTGAATGGAATGAGGTATTTGCATTTGCTAGAGAACGGGTGCAAACCTCAGTTCTTGAAGTTGTAGTCAAAGACAAAGATCTTGTCAAGGATGATTACATTGGCTTTGTACGCTTTGATATGAATGATGTACCAACACGTGTTCCGCCAGATAGTCCTTTGGCTCCCGAGTGGTATCGGCTAGAAGACAAGAAGGGCGAAAAGACGAAGGGGGAGTTGATGCTTGCGGTGTGGATTGGTACTCAAGCTGATGAAGCATTCCCAGATGCGTGGCACTCAGATGCTGTGGCAACTCTTGATTCCTCTGCTCTGCGCTCTCACATCCGGTCGAAGGTCTACCATGCACCAAGGCTGTGGTATGTTCGGGTAAACATCATTGAAGCACAAGATGTCGTCGTACATGACAAGACTCGGTTTCCTGATGTTTATGTTAAGGTGCAGATAGGGAATCAATTCATGAAGACAAAGGTTGTTCAGGCTCGTACGATGAACCCATTTTGGAATGAAGACTTCATGTTTTAATCATCTCTGTAGAAGACCGTGTAGGACCAAACAAAGATGAGATCATTGGGAGAGTTATCATACCACTTCAATCTGTAGAAAAGCGAGCTGATGACAAAATAGTGCACACTCGTTGGTATAACCTTGAAAAACCGGTTGTGATTGATGTCGACCAGTTGAAGAAGGAGAAGTTTTCGAGTCGACTTCATCTCCGAGTCTGTCTTGATGGAGGGTATCATGTGCTAGATGAATCCACCCACTATAGCAGTGATCTCCGACCTACTGCAAAACAGCTATGGAAGCCCTCAATTGGGTTGCTTGAGCTCGGTATTCTCAATGCTTCGGGGCTCCATCCTATGAAAACCCGAGAGGGTAAGGGCACATCAGACACCTACTGTGTAGCCAAGTATGGACAGAAATGGGTTCGCACTCGCACCATCATCAACAGCCTGACCCCAAGGTTCAATGAGCAGTACACATGGGAGGTGTATGATCCATCAACAGTTCTCACTGTAGGTGTATTTGATAACTGCCAGCTTGGTGAAAAGGAGGGTGGAAATGGAAACAGAGATTCAAGAATCGGAAAAGTACGCATCCGGCTCTCCACTTTGGAAACTGGGCGTGTATACACTCACTCATATCCACTTCTAGTTTTACACCCTTCAGGCCTCAAGAAGATGGGCGAGATACATTTAGCAATCCGCTTTTCATCAACATCTTTGGTGAACATGATGTACCTTTACTCTCGGCCGCTGCTTCCTAAGATGCATTATGTCCGGCCTTTAACTGTAATGCAGCTTGACATGCTCCGTCATCAAGCAGTACAGATTGTAGCAGCAAGGATGAGCAGAATGGAGCCACCACTTCGAAAAGAAGTAGTGGAATATATGTCTGATGTTGACTCTCACTTATGGAGCATGCGGAGAAGCAAAGCAAACTTCTTCCGTCTCATGTCAGTGTTCTCTGGAGCCTTTGCAGTTGGCAAATGGTTCGGAGATGTCTGTTCTTGGAAAAACCCGATAACCACAGCACTGGTGCATGTTCTTTTTGTGATGCTCATTTGCTTCCCTGAACTGATACTTCCAACAATATTCCTATATATGTTCTTGATTGGGATCTGGAACTATCGTTATCGGCCTCGTTATCCTCCACACATGAACACCAAAATTTCTCACGCCGAGGCTGTGCACCCAGATGAACTGGATGAGGAGTTCGATACTTTTCCAACTACCAGAAGTCCTGAACTTGTGAGGATGAGGTATGATAGGCTGAGGAGTGTAGCTGGTAGGATTCAGACGGTCGTGGGTGATGTTGCAACTCAAGGGGAGAGGATACAGGCTCTACTTAGCTGGAGGGATCCTAGGGCTACTGCAATCTTTATCCTGTTCTGTCTCTTGGCAGCACTGGTGCTTTATGTGACTCCATTCCAGGTGCTTGCCGTCTTGGCAGGTTTCTACACAATGAGGCATCCAAGGTTCCGGCATCGGTTGCCTTCAGTACCTATAAATTTCTTCCGTCGCTTGCCAGCAAGGACCGACAGTATGCTGTAAATAGGACAGGTCATCTGATGGACGGTACCCTGTCAACTTTAGTTTCAGTTGTGCTTTTAATTGTTGTAGCTGTCTAGACGTCAGGTGAGGACTATGAATAATTATGTGCAAGTCTGTAACTTATGCGCTGTGAAATAGCCTAAATGATCCAGCTTAGTTAGAATCTTTCCGGCTATAAGCTGGTTGCATTTCGAATTGGGTGCATGTCTTTTATTCTGCTTATGAAATAGTTTGGGTAGCCGAGGAAAACTGATTCGATATTGAATTATAATTATATGTTACATCCTGAAGAAGTGACGTTAAAAGAATGTCTCTGGCATTTTGCACATATGCACAAGGCGAGTACACAATACTTTCGTATCTGATCAGTGCAGTTTTGCATATTCATGTCTGATCAGAGTATTTTCAGTCCGACTTGTTACTAATTGGAGTGTTATATGACTTCATAGTTACGTATTATTCTTCAGCAATTATCTACTCAGTCTTCAGGGTGTTACCTTGTCTTACGTGGCGTCGTTAAGTTTTATGCGTTTGCTACAGTGAACTATATGTTTTCTTCCATTTACCGCTTCTGTAAAATGGCAAAATTATTACATCTTGTTTGCATATCTAAGGATTTTTACCACTTCCAATTGACTTAAATTCTTCTTAGTTTGCACACGAGCTAAGAGTAGTTGCACTATTTTAGTCGCTGTTATCCCCTTGAGGACAAATCACTTGATGTCATATTGCATTTTAGATGGTTTCATGTATATGCTGTAAATATCTCCTGATTAATCCAAGAAAGTTGCAGGTCATGATCAGACTGATTATATACTGTTTCAGTATCCAGGGGCTCCACAGAAGTTGGTCAAATGAGGAACAATGTAAATGTTGAAAATTTTTAACGGATGTAGATTTAGATGGATTGTTGACTGCCTTTTTTGCTTTTGAATCCTGTTTGTCCCTCTTTTATTGAATTTAGGTTATGAATATTTGTGAGTATTTTTGGGGCTTCTTTGTGTTAGTTAGGCCGATCTTTGAGTTGGTTAGATATACTGTACGTTTATGTTATTAGTTGGATTTTTCTACTTTTTTGAATGTCTTCTAAGTCAAAATTTAGACCCAATCATTCGGTCTCAATTTTTCAGATTTTATAAGGTGAATAGTCAAGCTGAGATTAAGAGATTTGGAAAACTAAAACTTCTCATGTTCTTTTGCTTGCAAAATTCTAGGAGTAGATGTGGACCTCAGCATTTACGAAGGGAAAGTCCTGATTACTGTACATGTTGCATCTAAATGGTAGCATATTGGCACTTAACATCTAGGGCTTCTTTCTAGCTGTCTTGATGTATTACTACAAATCCTTGTTTGTTGTGAAATACCTTATAGAACTAACGAACTATTCATTGAGATCAGAGAATTTAGAGAGTTAGCGAACTTTTCGTTTCACTCTTCCTTTTTCTTCATGCATTACTATATATCAATATATATATATATATATGGTCAAGTGAATCTGCGGTGACTCCGTAGGCTGGCTCTGAGGATGCGCGATCTGGGCCGTTTATTCAAAACCCCTCAGAGAGATCTGAGCCCTTCGTTGAAAATCTCATCCCCCCAAAATCCCTACCCTTCTCTCATCTCTCCCGCGATCAGCGTCGCCGCCGTCCCCTTGCCCTCGCCATCACCTCCCCTCCTCCTCTCCAGCGCCCGAGATCACCGCAGCTGAGCGTCGCCGCCGGGTCATCGCCGTCTACTCCTCCTCGCCATCGAGCTCAGCCCTCGTCATCAGCCACGCCTCCGACGGCATTCGAGCTCAGCCCTCAGGTTCATCGCCGCCTCCGGAGCTCGACCAAGCCCTCGACGTCTGCCTCACCATCACCTCCCCCCTCCTCTCCACCTCCCGAAATCGCCGCAGCCTGCGCTTGCCGTCCCAGCTCAGTGTTGCCGCCGGCTCATCACACTTCGCCGCTGTCGAGCTCGCCTTCACCGAGGTAAGGCATCAGGTCTAAATTAACGTGTTATTTCTAACTGAAATGCATGTCAGCTAGCTCTAAATTAACGTGTTAGTTTTAACTGAAATGCATGTTAATGCTACCGGGATGCATGTTAGCTCCAATGAAGATGATGTTAGTTCTATTACAAGGCATGTTAGTTCTAGTTGGCGTTCCTGTTAGATCTAGTCTATTTCATGATGGTTCTATCTTCCCTCATGCATATTCCTTGGATCTATCTTCTTCCTTTTAATTTCAGCTCATACATTACTTGGTTTGCAGCACTCACTCTATGGCTACGAGCCGGATAATTTAGAGCTATTTTTGCCATGTATTGTTAAATTGGATATAAACTTTAAATTTGGTTTAAACTATCGTAATGAAATTGTTTAGTGAAATTGAAAGATCAACTTGATGACGTTTTTTGAGCGATTTTGAACTTCTTATATGTGATAATTTGATAGCTTGTATAGACACTCCACCAATTCTCTCACGTGAGGCAACAATGGAAGAAGATAAAAGCCAGGACCATGATCTACTATCTACAACATGGCTTCCCCCTCAGGTGATAATATCTTATTGTTTATAGTGTACTACTAACTAATGACATATACCAAAATAGTTGTCTTTTAGCATGAGTTTTGTTTCTCTATTTTTATAGGCATCCGAGCATGAGGAGAATGGTGATGAGCTTATGGGCGTTGAAAATGGTGAAGATAATTTAAACAGCGTTGATCCATATATCGGAATGGAGTTCTCTACTCATGAGGAAGCTTATAATTTCTACAATGCATACGCCAGACTTAAGGGATTTGGTGTTCGCAAGGGTCACACAGCTTGGTCGAGAAAGAAAGATGCAATCCTATCTAGAATATTTGTATGTGACAAAGAAGGCTTTAAATCTTTAAAAGATAAAAGAGAAGATGGTCGGAATGTAATTCGAAAGTTCGATACAAGATGTGGATGCAACGCAAGGATGGTTATTGGACTTGATAGAAGCACTGAAAAATGGGTGGTCCGAAAGTTAAACAGTAAGCATAATGGTCATCCATTAACCACCCCAACTCGGGTAAAGAAGCACTACTCACATCGGACACTTCATCGAGCTCAATCGACAAAAAGGTTGATAGATACTCTTGACAATCAAGGTTTACGGCCTTCTGCCATTTGTAAGGTTGTAGACGTTGCTCATGGCAATGAACAAGGCTCTCTCACTCAACAAGAATGCCAAGCACAACTTAGACTTAAACGAAGAAACAACGTCGGCCATGAGTGCGTGAACATAGTTCGTCAATTTCAAGAGAAAAAGGTATCTGATCCTCAATTTTACTTTGCACTTGATTTAGAAAATGATGGGACGATGAGAAGTGTTTTTTGGATGGATGGTAGGTCGAGGACTTCTTACTTGCAATTTGGAGATGTTGTTTGCTTTGATGTTACATATAGAACGAATAATTTAAAATTGCCGTTTGCACCATTTACGGGTGTTAACCATCATCGACAGTCTACTCTATTTGGGTGTGCGTTACTGGCCGATGAAACGGAGGAGACGTTTATATGGTTATTTAGCCAATGGTTAAAATGTATGTCGGGTATAGCACCAGTAACAATCATCACTGATCAAGATAAAGCTATGTGTGGTGCTATTCACAAAGTTTTTCCTAAAACTCGCCATCGCTTTTGTTCTTGGCACCTTCGTAGGAATGCCTTACAAAATCTTCAATCAATGCATAATGATTATGGTGAGGATGTTTCTATAAAGTATAACAAATGGTATTGGAGTAAATCAGAAGAAAAATTTGAAAAGCGTTGGGAAGAAATGAGGGACAAATATGGTGCAGATAAAAGGAGTTGGTTAGTAAATTTATACAATCATCAAGATCATTAGGCTCCAGTGTATCTTAAAGACACTTTTACTTCAGGAATGACATCTACTCAGCGGAGTGAGGGAATTAATGCTTTTTTTGATCATTTTGTGAATGTAAATACCGAGTTACATGATTTTGTTAAGCAGTATGATAATGCTGTCAGAGCTCGCCGAGCCACTGAACTTGAGCAAGATTTTAAGTCCACAAACTCAGTTCCTACATTGATAATTGAACATCCCATTGAAAAACAAGCTCGGGAGAATTATATGAAGAATCTGTTTACTATCTTTCAGAAAGAACTCAAGGATAGTTACTCCATGTTTCATGAAAAGTTGTCGAAGGACGGCGCAAGTGCTACTTATGTCGTTTGGAATATAGATAGCGAGGCTGAAAGCAAGAAGATAGTAAAGCATCATGTTGTTTTTGATACATCCAAAGAAAAAAGAATTAAGTGCTCTTGTGCGAGATTTGAGATGGAAGGTATATTATGCAAACATAGCTTGCACATTTTAGTAAAGAAGCAAGTATTAGAAATTCCATCAAGATATATCATGCAACGATGGACAATTAAAGCAAGACATGTTGGTTGCGGAGTTGTTAGAAATTGTATTACAAATAGTGAAGACCAAATATCTATCATTAAACATTGGGCCCTTAGGAGTAGATGTAACAAGGTACTAGAAGATACATTGACTTCAAGTACACTTCATGATAAGTTTAGTGCTTTTTTAGACTCATTTTTTGAAGAAGTTGAGAATTCCAAGATTGAGAAGGAACATAACGACAATGGAAATGAGAGCAATGCCAGCAATAAGATGCCTACTTCATCCATACCCATCTCTATAGAGGAAGCAACTCAAATCACTATTCGTGATCCAGATAAGCCTGTTGCCACGAAGGGACGACCAGCACAGGCTACAAGAATTAAGTCGGGAGTGGAGATAGCACAAGAAAAGAGTATAAAAAAACAAAGATTTTGTGGGTTTTGTAAGGGAAAAGGACATTATATAACGAGTTGTCCTTTAGCTAAGGTATTATACTTAATCTTGATTTAATATTTTTCAATGTCTTTGCATTTGTCATGATAAAGTTGCAATTATTTTTGTAGAACAAAAATGTTGCTGGTGGAGGTCGAAAAAGTTAACGGCATCGCCAAAACAAAGTTTACGGAGGGCCAAAACAAAGCATGTGTTTCGGTTGAATGTTCACAATTTGATTTATTCACTTTTCCCTTAAGATTTATGTATGTATGGATGATAATGTGGTTGTATGGATTAATCATGTATGGATGATAATTTGAATTAATTTTTTCCCCCAGAACAATGAGGAACAAAACAGTATTAAGTGGGTACAAAACGAGCAATTAGTGGGTACTAAACTTGAATAAGTGGGTACAAAAATAAAATCATGGCATTATTAGGTACAAAACTTTCTTAATTAGGTACAAAGCTTGATTAAGTGGGTACAAAACTTTCTTAAGTGGGTACAAAGCTTGATTAAGTGGGTACAATATTTGAATCCAGAGCAAAGAGGTACAAAAGGGTGCCTAAGTAGGTACAAAACGTGTATAAATGGGTACAAAACTTGAATAAGTGTGTACAAAATTTGCAGCAGAATAATGAGGTACAAAACATGGTTAAGTGGGTACAAAACTTGAATAAATGAGTACCAAACTTGATTAAGTGGGTACCAAACTTGATTAAGTGTGTACAAAAGTTTTTACAAGTAGGTACAAGACTTGATTAATTGGGTACAAAACATGTATAAATGGGTACAAAACGGTGCCTAAATAGGTACAAAACGTGTATAAATGAGTACAAAACTTGAATAAGTGTGTACAAAATTTGATTCCAGGTATAATGAGGTACAAAACATGGTTAAGTAGGTACCAAACTTGATTAAGTGGGTAAAGTGGGTACAAAACTTGAATAAATGGGTACCAAACTTGATTAAGTGGGTACCAAACTTGATTAAGTGGGTATAAAAGTTTTTACAAGTAGGTACAAGGCTTGATTAAGTGGGTACAATATTTAAGCAACGTAATAGAACTAACTCTGTATGTGATAGAACTAACAAGAGGACAGCTAGATATAACAAGGAGTGAGCTAGGGATATCATGACATAACAGAACAAACACTTGGGCTAGAAATAACGCCAGCACGAAGTAGAACTAACAGGAGATGGGCTTGAACTAACAGGAGGGCATCTAGAACTAACTAGGAGTGAGCTAGGGATAACATGGCCATCTCGAGTACAAACACTTGTGCTAAAAATAACGTGGCACGAAGTAGAACTAACTCGAGATGTGCTTGAACTAACAGGAAGACATATAGAACTAACAATGACTGAGATAGGCCTAACATGGGCCACAGAACAAACACTTGTGCTAGAAATAACGCCAACTTGAAGTAGAACTAACTCGAGATGTTCCAGAACTAACAGTAGGACAACTAGAACGTGTATAAATGGGTACAAAACTTGAATAAATGTGTACAAAATTTTGATTCCAGAATAATGAGGTACAAAACATGGTTAAGTGGGTACAAAACTTGAATAAATGGGTACAAAACTAGATTAAGTGTGTACAAAAGTTTTTACAAGTAGGTACAAGGCTTGATTAATTGGGTACAAAACGTGTATAAATGGGTACAAAACGGTACCTAAGTAGGTACAAAACGTGTATAAATGGGTACAAAACTTGAATAAGTGTGTACAAAATTTTGATTCCAGAATAATGAGGTACAAAACATGGTTAAGTGGATACAAAACTTGAATAAATGGGTACAAAACTTGATTAAGTGGGTACAAAAGTTTTAACAAGAAGGTACAAGGCTTGATTAATTGGGTACAAACGTGTATAAATGGGTACAAAACGGTGCCTAAGTAGGTACAAAACGTGTATAAATGGGTACAAAACTTGAATAAGTGTGTACAAAATTTTGATTCCAGAATAATGAGGTACAAAACATGGTTAAGTGGGTACAAAACTTGAATAAATGGGTACCAAACTTGATTAAGTGGGTACCAAACTTGATTAAGTGGGTATAAAAGTTTTTACAAGTAGGTACAAGGCTTGATTAATTGGGTACAAAACATGTATAAGTGGGTACAAAACTTGAATAAATGGGTACCAAACTTGATTAAGAAGGTACAAAACTTGATTAAGTGGGTACAAAAGTTTTTACAAGTAGGTACAAGGCTTGATTAATTGGGTACAAAACGTGTATCAATGGGTATAAAACGGTGCCTAAGTAGGTACAAAACGTGTATAAATGGGTACAAAACTTGAATAAGTGTGTACAAAATTTTGATTCCAGAATAATGAGGTACAAAACATGGTTAAGTGGGTACAAAACTTGAATAAATGGGTACCAAACTTGATTAAGTGGGTACCAAACATGAATTACCTCTGCAGCTAATTCATGAGAGTCTTGGCTTGTTTCCATGTCGCAGCTTTAATTGCCTCTATGCTCAAGTATTTTTGCCCAGCTTTCTTGCAATTTTATGAGAGAATATGTTGAGGAGGATGGAGTTGATCCCAACTATATAAGTGCAGGGGTGGGGTAAATTGTTTCCGTTGGCAAAATCTTGTACAAAACGTGTATAAATGGGTACAAAACGGTGCCTAAGTAGGTACAAAACGTGTATAAATGAGTACAAAACTTGAATAAGTGTGTACAAAATTTTGATTCCAGAATAATGAGGTACAAAACATGGTTAAGTGGGTACAAAACTTGAATAAATGGGTACCAAACTTGATTAAGTGGGTATAAAAGTTTTTACAAGTAGGTACAACAAGGCTTGATTAAGTGGGTACAATATTTAAGCAACGTAATAGAACTAACTCAATATGTGCTAGAACTAACAAGAGGACAGCTAGAACTAACAAGGAGTGAGCTAGGGATATCATGACATAAAAGAACAAACACTTGGGCTAGAAATAACGCCAGCACGAAGTAGAACTAACAGGAGATGGGTTTGAACTAACAGGAGGGCATCGGGTACAAAACTTGAGTACAAAATTTTGATTCCAGAATAATGAGGTACAAAACATGGTTAAGTGGGTACAAAACTTGAATAAATGGGTACCAAACTTGATTAAGTTGGTACAAAACTTAAGGAACGTAATAGAACTAACTCTATATGTGCTAGAACTAATAAGAGGACAGCTAGAACTAACAAGGAGTGAGCTAGGGATATCATGACATAACAGAACAAACACTTGGGCTAGAAATAACGCCAGCACAAAGTAGAACTAACAGGAGGGCATCTAGAACTAACTAGGAGTGAGCTAGGGATAACATGGCCATCTCGAGTACAAACACTTGTGCTAAAAATAACGTGGGCACGAAGTAGAAATAACTCGAGATGGCCTTGAACTAACAGGAAGACGTATAGAACTAACAATGACTGAGATAGGCCTAACATGGGCCACAGAACAAACACTTGTGCTAGAAATAACGCCAACTTGAAGTAGAACTAACTCGAGATGTTCCAGAACTAACAGTAGGACAACTAGAACGTGTATAAATGGGTACAAAACTTGAATAAATGTGTACAAAATTTTGATTCCAGAATAATGAGGTACAAAACATGGTTAAGTGGGTACAAAACTTGAATAAATGGGTACAAAACTAGATTAAGTGTGTACAAAAGTTTTTACAAGTAGGTACAAGGCTTGATTAATTGGGTACAAAACGTGTATAAATGGGTACAAAACGGTACCTAAGTAGGTACAAAACGTGTATAAATGGGTACAAAACGGTACTTAAGTAGGTACAAAACGTGTAAAAATGGGTACAAAACTTGAATAAGTGTGTACAAAATTTTGATTCCAGAATAATGAGGTACAAAACATGGTTAAGTGGGTACAAAACTTGAATAAATGGGCACCAAACTTGATTAAGTGGGTACAAAACTTGATTAAGTGTGTACAAAAGTTTTTACAAGTAGGTACAAGGCTTGATTAATTGGGTACAAAACGTGTATAAATGGGTACAAAACTTGAAAAAGTGTGTACAAAATTTTGATTCCAGTATAATGAGGTACAAAACATGGTTAAGTGGGTACAAAACTTGAATAAATGGGTACCAAACTTGATTAAGTGGGTACCAAACTTGATTAAGTGGGTATAAAAGTTTTTACAAGTAGGTACAAGGCTTGATTAAGTGGGTACAATATTTAAGCAACGTAATAGAACTAACTCTGTATGTTCTAGAACTAACAAGAGGACAGCTAGAACTAACAAGGAGTGAGCTAGGGATATCATGACATAACAGAACAAACACTTGGGCTAGAAATAACGCCAGCACGAAGTAGAACTAACAGGAGATGGGCTTGAACTAACAGGAGGGCATCTAGAACTAACTAGGAGTGAGCTAGGGATAACATGGCCATCTCGAGTACAAACACTTGTGCTAAAAATAACGTGGCACGAAGTAGAACTAACTCGAGATGTGCTTGAACTAACAGGAAGACATATAGAACTAACAATGACTGAGATAGGCCTAACATGGGCCACAGAACAAACACTTGTGCTAGAAATAACGCCAACTTGAAGTAGAACTAACTCGAGATGTTCCAGAACTAACAGTAGGACAACTAGAACGTGTATAAATGGGTACAAAACTTGAATAAATGTGTACAAAATTTTGATTCCAGAATAATGAGGTACAAAACATGGTTAAGTGGGTACAAAACTTGAATAAATGGGTACAAAACTAGATTAAGTGTGTACAAAAGTTTTTACAAATAGGTACAAGGCTTGATTAATTGGGTACAAAACGTGTATAAATGGGTACAAAACGGTACCTAAGTAGGTACAAAACGTGTATAAATGGGTACAAAACTTGAATAAGTGTGTACAAAATTTTGATTCCAGAATAATGAGGTACAAAACATGGTTAAGTGGGTACAAAACTTGAATAAATGGGTACCAAACTTGATTAAGTGGGTACCAAACTTGATTAAGTGGGTATAAAAGTTTTTACAAGTAGGTACAAGGCTTGATTAAGTGGGTACAATATTTAAGCAACGTAATAGAACTAACTCTGTATGTGATAGAACTAACAAGAGGACAGCTAGATATAACAAGGAGTGAGCTAGGGATATCATGACATAACAGAACAAACACTTGGGCTAGAA